AAGACACCCTCAAGCAGCCCTCAACCCACCCTAAGCCCACCTCAAAGTTTGAAACCAAACCTTAGCTAAGCCCTAAGCAAACCACTATACAACCCTAAACTGCACCTAAACCAGTTCTAAACCAGCCCTAAACAATGCCCAAGCAAGCCATGCACCAACCATACCCCCTCCCCCAAACCTCAAACCAAACCTGAGCAAGCCCTAAGCAAAGCTACGCCCACCTAAACCGAAGCATAGCCTAAACCAACTCTAAACACACCCTAAACAACAAACCCTGAACAAGCCCATTACCAACCCTACTCCCACCGATGCCAGCCCTAAACCATCCCCAACTTACACCAAAGCGAGCCAACCAAAGCCTACTCCCACTTATAAAAGCCCAATTTCAACCAATACTACGTGGCCTAAACCCACTAAAGCAATCCTAAACCTACCCACACTTGCCCTGAACAAGCCCCAAACCCACCCTAGATCAAAATTGAATTCGGCAGCCCACTGGTGATGCTGAGGGTGTCGAACGCGCTAGGGATGTCGGCAGTGCTAGGGCAATACGAGTGCATGTTGTCAATACAGAGTAAGATATGCACGGATCTAGTTTAGGCCTCTTTGTGCCATGTGTGGGTGTCAAGCTGCATTTTCAAATGCCAGGGACTGTTTATGAGATATTTCTCTGCAGTCGTGGTTGTCGTGGTTGATGATTGGCGAGTTGATTTTGAAGTTTCCTAGCTAATCGACCTGTTGGCATGCACTGCTGAGTTGCTCTGACATTGAAATCAGCACACGAGCGGCTGCATGTACGGAAGGCTTGCCTAGAAGAAAGGCCGGGCGGAACTATTTTTTGGAAGGATACTGAATTGGGCACAAAAAGAGATAGGAACGCCCTAACACGAGATGGGATAGACAACACGTTAATGACATGACATGGTCAGAATTGCAGCGTTCCTGCATGCTGGGAGTGATGTTTCAAGCCATTTGGTCTTAACACACAATCTGAATGTGGTGTAATCAGTGCAAACTGAGCGGGCTCAATACTGGCCGGAGCTAGAGACTCTCCGTTGCGAGGAAGGCTGATAGCTACTACTGCCCTCATTGTTCTTTGGACGTGCTTCTACCGGTTCTGCACTTGCAAAGAAGCAGCACCTGGTTGGATCTTGTGTAAGGATGCTCCATTTCGGAGCCGTGTTACAACGAGGTCCAAAACGAGTTTAACACGAGATCAGAACGAGCAGCAGGCCATGAGAGCAACCCACGGAGCCCGAAGAAGCGCGTCCAAGACAAGGCACGCCCATGATGATGTCAGGCAGGCAGAAACCAGCACATAGGCACAGCAACACCCTCGAACTTAGGCTAACTCCGACACTTCATTGTGATCGCAAACGCATGCAGCGTTGGAAGGGAACGAGGAAGGACATCCCACTCGTTTTCAATATGTAGCAAATAACTGTCGTAATCCAGGGACATGTTGGCACGATGCTGGCGCTTTGGTTTCCTCCCGCAACACTTTTCACAACCCCTCCTTGTGGCTAGCCCCCTCCTTGTAGCTGCGCGTCAAACATTTGGAGTCTTCCATATAGCTGGGCTTGACTGTTTCTTCTGTTGGTGTCCTTTTCAAAAACATTTAACATTGTCAATTTCTGGGATTCTTCCAAATAGTTGGGATTGGTTGGTTTTGTTTTGCTTTCTTTAAAACTTGCTCGACTCGGTTTGGCACCAGGCAGCGAGTGCTTTTCGGCCGCTTTTGCTGCCTGATCGTCGCCGCCGTCCTGACATGGATCCCTTACGATCTCTGGGGCATTGCCACCTTTTGCCAGTTCACCTCGTGGCACCCTGGCCTCTGGGAAACCCCAAAGAGATGCTGCCTGGTGTCGACTCTTTACATTTGAAAGCTGCTGCCGGCTGCAGTGTTGGAAGCCGTTGCCCATTTGTGAGGCAATTGTGATGAGGCTCGCAAACCGTTATTTGGATGTGACGAGTGCGTTGGTTTGTAGGATGGGGCTTGTGCAAGTGTCCATGTGTACATTTGGTACGTGCTTAAGGTGCTGCCGGAGCTACTCTTGTAAACGGGATGATTTGGGGCACTCTCTGGTAAGCAAGGGCCAATCGCCAAACTCTGTGTCAGTTGAACATGTACATTTAGTGGAAGTCGTAAAAGGGGATTGATTGAGCCGTTGGTTCCCCTCCATCACATTTTTGCCCAGGTCAGCTTGCTTGTTTCTTTTTGCTTTTTCTCAACAGATCCATCGACCGTCAAAGGGTAGCCACCACTAACCACCTCTAAATGGCTTCTTGCTGTGACATTCAAGTTACCTTGGCATGCACCGTTATGAAGCGAATGTGGCATTTTTTTGATAGGAGCTCTGGAAGGAGGGGAGCTAAACCGGAAATCTAGGACCAAAGCTGTTTCGCCCTCGGCATGACCAGCAATTTACATCCTTTTGATAGCCGCCCAAGTGGGGTGGGTGACACGCTTTCACAGGTCCAAACTAGGGATAGGTCCAACGATTGGTTCTATGTCGGGCTCTTGGATAGAACCAGCCAGGGTTTCTTCGGCTTGACAAACCCCTTGAGCGAAATTCAGAAGGTGCGGCTGTTCTCAGTGGACAAAGTTTTGAAGCATTCGTTGAGAAGTGCTGCTTGTTTGCGGTCGGTATAGTGTATCTATAGATCAACTTGCATGATGCATGACACGTGACTGTTGGTCGACATGGTCTAGGCCCGATTAAACTGTCTAGCGGTGGGCATATATCGGCCAGGCACAGAGGAACTTCCAGTTTTTCACGTCGAGGCACATTTGCACAATCAATGCAGGGATCCGCCAAAGCTGGGGCCTTTTCCAAAGATTGGCGGCAACTTACAACGAGCTCACCTCGGGGTCAAACGAGTCAAACAAGCTCACTCATGAATGTCCTTTACTCATGGTGCGCGGACTGGACAGGTCCGTGCTCTCTTCGGGGCGCGGGCCGACCAAAACGAGAGTCAACGAGGTCCTTCATTGGGGGTCCAATTTTTCCGGTTTGGGAATTCCTGGACTGTGCATGGGCAAAATCCTGCACCAGCTGGTGGGTGGCTTGTCTCAGTTTACCGGGTTTGATCCATCCAGACTGGTGTCGGATTTTTCCCAGAGCCGCTATTTTTCCCATGACCCCTCCGCATGGCACAAATGCCCTGTTTGCATGCGGAGGACCTGGTTGAACATGAACCTGTACTTTGCAGTGGCTCTCTTCCGCAGCTTTCGGCAAGGCGAGCAGGAGGTCAGGATTTTGTATGCCTTATGAGGGCACCCTGAAAATGGCTTGGGTCCATTCATTTTGTGTCCAAAGCCCTTGCCGCGCACTGTATTGACCCAACGGCCCAGCCGATTCCAGGTAATTTGAATGCCAAACTGGCAAAAAAGACGGACATGCACAGCATACGTTCAAGCAAAGCCCGAGAGGCTCAAATTGCAAGATTATGACAGCATTCATGCTGCGCCCCCTGCAAAATGATTGGCGTGCCATTGCTTTCTGAGGCCATCAAAAGGAGTCACCTCGAAAAAGGCACCCATTTGAAGAGGAATCCGGAGTGAAACCCGGTGTTTGCACAAGTGCCATGTTCGAGTGAGGCTTCTGGACCGCTGGATGCAAGTTGTAACTTTGGGATCACAGCATGACAACCATGAAAGTATTTGCAGGGATCAGAGAAGTCCACAGCCAACCAAGAGTTGTCTACATTGGGCTTCGCTGAAGGCAACGCATATTTCTCTAGATTTTGCCAGCGTGCTTTTTTTTCACTGCAGAGGACATGTTCTTATATCCACTGACAGGAGGCTTCAGGACTCCAAGCAAGACCTGGACATTAAATCCTCCAGAATACAAAATACAAGGCGTGATGCGTCTTCGCCAGATTGCGCCACGTTGTACTGTTTGATATTGTCGCTGGACAAAATACAACACCAATTGGTAGGTGATCTATCCATGTCTATCCCAGTATTCATAAGGCGCAGAGTGTTGCGCATCCACACTCAGTATCACTGAGAAATCAATAGTTTCTGCTCATAATTTTGAAATAGGACAATTGTTGTAAGTACCCCCTGTAGCTAGGTGCCCGGGAGATGATTACCTGGCTACTGCCAGTTTCTTATGATACATTTTCGGGCACTGGGGATTCCTCATGGACCTATCCATGCGCCATTTGGAGCTGTGTTACAGTTCCATTGCCTCAGACGCACTGGGAGAGCATTTGCTTTGCAGTGCTTTAGAAACCGCGAGGCATGGGCAGCCTGGAGTACTCAAAGCCGCACCGAGCGACGCTGCTATGGTCCCAAGCTCAGGTACTGAGATTGTGGGGCCCAAGCGACGCCTTAAACACACAACTTCAAAGCTAGTTCTTCCTTTTTTCTGGCCCAGGCGATGTGCTTGTGGGTGGACGGAGGATTTCAGAAGTTCCTTTGAGTTTTGTAACCAAGGAGTTGAAGTTCCCTTTTCAGCTATATTTTGAAGGGGCCATCATGAGATGGCTGCGTTTGAGCGAAAGTCGGAACCATTTGTGAAGTCTGAGATGTGCACTAGGCACTTGACGCGCCAGAACAATGAGAGATATGAATAATTATGCATTCGCGGCTGGCTTTTGCACAGTCTGTTGCACTCAGAATTGTTAGCCCCAAAGTCGCAAATCACTTCACGGTAATACCGCTGGGCCCACATGATATTTGCTGGCCACTGGCGGTTTGCGATATACGAGTTCCTCATATATATATATATATATATATATATGTGCGCCTGCAGCCTTTTCCCCATTGATCCAGTGGCATCGCTCTTTCCATTTTGCTTGCCATGCTCCGCATCTTCTTGTTTTGCTTCCCGGCAGTGGCCCACGGACAAAGTGGACTGCAGATTAAGAGGATCACTGAGATCAACGAGACAAATGCCACAGAATCCGAGTACCTAGAGCCTGACCCCATGTACGATTACTACGATGAGCTGATGAACACCAGCAATACAAGCTACGAAGCTTATCCAGTGATGCGGCTGGAGAAGCGTGGTGGCTGGGGTGTTGGAGGTGACAAGCTCTGGGGCAGCGGCCGCGGTGTGGAGGACATCAACAGTGGCAACGTTGGCTACTACAACGCGGGCATGCGGGGTGCCCGGAACCGATGTGGCGGCTCCAGTTGCGCGTTGATCGTTAACCCCCCCGGTCACCGCAGCATCGACAAGTTCCACATCCACTTTGTGCATTATCACTCCTACGGATCCAGCCTCAAGCACCGCCTGGAGAAGAAGGTCTGCGGCCGCAGCGGCTGGCAGAGAGGGGGCCTGCCCTGCCACGGCAAGGTAGGGTGAGTCACTTTTTTTTGTTAAGCGACCAGACACAATTAGTATCCCGCCAAAGAAAGATGGCCAGGTTGTTTCAACTTTGAACAGCCATGGCACCCCTTAAAGCTGGAGCCAAAAGGAGGTTGTTGGGTGGTTTAATCAACGGGTATTCGAACATGTTTAAGCAGGGGGTTGGCCTATGATAACTACGGCAAGGCCATTTTCTCCTCGGGTTTCCCGGGAGTCTTCAGCCTGGCAATGTCTGGGGGCGGCTTGCGACACGCCTCCGTGATTGCCTGGCCCGCCTCCTGCGGCGGCAAGGGCACCATCGTGGCTTGGTTACACTCGCAGATGGAATCCGCTTTAGAACAGATTCCATGTTAATCTGTGGAGATCTCTTTGGGACGATCTGTGGCCTTTCGACTTTGGGCAAATGACACTTTGCGAAGCAACCAGCAAAAAGGACAACTTTTATGACCAACCAAGGTGCAGCTTGCATATGGATGCTCCATCGAGCACCAGATCCGAGGCGACTACAACCCCGCATACCGCTAGAAAGACCGGAAAAGGTGAGCTCACAAACGCCGGAATGTGACGCAACATCATGTGCCGCGACAGATGCTCGCATGGCGCAGAATACCTCAATTTACTTGTACAGGTAATTGGCTCTTGTCCGAGCTGAAGGCCTTTTGGAAGGGGGCATTGTGCCTAGACGAAGTGCCTGCGCTTCGTCCCCCTTGGCTTGCAGCGATTTTGCGGAATCTTAGTCCGATCCGAGCTTAAGCCTCGAGATCGACCCAAGTTGCCCGGGCGAAGCTAATGGATCCTCAGACGAGTCCCGTCAGACTCACTTGGAGCGGTCCAAAACAAACATGAATGCGGCTGAAGGACCCATTCTTGGCATACACAGTGAATTTGTTTGCAAGTGATAAAGTAGTAATGAGGATGGCCTAGTTTGGTATCACAGAACGGTTGATTTTCGACAGCCACGAAAACAACATGAAGGATGTCTAGAGCGCAGACAAAGGCTGCTTGGGCTCACGGCAGTTTTGATGAGCTTAGAGCTGCGCATGTCACAGAATTTGGGTGCTTAGACCTTTCGTGCATTTTGTCAACTGCCTCCTTTAGTTCCAAGCTGAAATTTGGCTTGACCACGAAGTATTGTTGATTCACCTGCCATGGAAATTGTAACTATAAGTCTGTACATGACATATAATCAGATCGCTGGGAAGTGTGTTGAGAGTGTTTGCGTGTGTGTGTGTGTTGTGGTGTGTGTGTGTGTGTGTGTGTGTGTGTGTGTGTGTGTGTGTGTGTGTGTGTGTGTGTGTGTGTGTGTGTGTGTGTGTGTGTGTGTGTGTGTGTGTGTGTGTGTGTGTGTGTGTGTGTGTGTGTGGTGTGTGTGTGTGTGTGTGTGTGTGTGTGTCTTTCGTGTTTTTGTTTAAAGCAGCCCCATGTGACTGCGTTCGCCTTACAATGTTCCCACACCAGCTGGACCTGTTTGTTTGGAAACCTTGTTGTTTTTGAAACCTTGTTTGGCCCCGTGCCGGATACTGACTGTGGAACTCACAAGAATCCCATGGCTGCATAGTGCCCACCAATACAATGCTGGTCACGGCTGTAGCCGACTTGTTCCATGATGTTACACCTGTTCAGGTGCCTAGTGTGTGTGCCACAGCCTAAGACCAAAAGCTTCTTTTCAATCCGCAGGGGGCCAGGAACCCATGGATGTCTGTCCTGGCCAACGAAGACCAGACACCATGGGGGCGAAAACGTACCTGCTTTCGTGTCTTTCTGGTTCTGCCCGACATTCGGTGAGCCAGACATCGGACACCAAGTTTCTTTTACTCCTTTCGGGGAGCTGTTCACAGTGTCTGTGTTTGTGTGTGTCTGTGTCTGTGTCTGTGTCTGTGTCTGTGTCTGTGTCTGTGTCTGTGTCTGTGTCTGTGTCTGTGTGTGCGCGTCAGTGTGTCGGCATTGTTGCGACGGGCTTTACCGTCAAACGCAGTGTATTAAACCGTCTTATGTAGTCAGTGACACGTATATATATATATAGACATAGAGAGGTATGAGTCCCGCTGGAAACGGTGCACATAGTTACTTCAACAGGTAACAGTGTTGATAGTTGTATTATATATGTATATGCATCTACATATATTAGTTGGTTGGTATACCAGTATACCAATCCTGTCAGATGCCATGCTCGTGCCGTACGCATCGTTGCATGCCAGATCAGACTGGTCCTGGCCTCACCCCGAGGTTCCAGGTCCTTTACGGCATGGCGTGGCTGGTGGACATATTTTACTGGTTTCTGCTGGTGCCTTTCGCGTGCTACCATGGCAACTTTGCGCGCCGCACGACCTGGCTCAACATCTGGCTGCACAGCCTCAACGCGCCTCGAATACCTGGGTGGTTTCTGAGTTCCCACTGTTCTTTTCGACAAGGCGCTCACCTCCCTAGTTTCTTGTATGGTTGTTGGGAAGACCATTGCGATAATCTTTTGGGTCACTCGCTTGCCACCTCCAAAACCACGAAGAAGCGAGCCACGGTCAATAAGCACAGAGTTCGTTGCAGAGAGTGCCAACACGGGATAGGCTAAAGTTTATTGTGGCTTGGTGTGTGACCGCGAGAAACACTCACCCAGCACTACCCTGTATTTCCCATGATCAACCAAATGTACCGCAATTGATTTTAGTTAGACATTTGACGAGCGGTTAAATTATGAATGTTCACACATTTACCGTAATTGTCCAAAGGGACTCGAGCTGGCATGCCACAACAGGCCATCCTTATTTTCAGGCTATGGGATAGTGAGTTCCGTGTCTAGACACTCGGCTTGGCGTGGCCTTCGCGTTACGTAAGCCTTGTGCGTCGGGACGTCACAGTGAACCCACTTACCCAGATGCCGGGTCACCAGCCATTTTGGTTTTGGTCTTTGAGGGGTGGTTGCCTTGTTTACCTACTTATTATACAGGTACATGGTTCCACTGAGTGTGATATGTAAGACTGCCTTGGGTGACATGACTGACCCTGTAGCAAGATGTCCACCCAATGGTCTGCAATTACAATGCATGATCCAGAGATGCTCTGCTGAACTCGCGAACTGGGTTTGAACGCAGTGCTGGGACATGCACCATTCCTAAGCCCTTGAGTTTCTTGGGTTCATGAATGAAGCATTCACTAGAGGGTGGGGGGTGCCATGGGCTGTTGCTTCCGTTAAAGCAAGGGTATCAGGCATGGCTAAAAGTAAGGCCACTGACATCCTGCAAATTGCAGCTTTGGGCACAGCCCAGCTGGGTGTATCCCCAACAGCAACCCGCGAAACCCTTCCAACACCCTGCCTCAAAGCTGCTCAGCATCATTCGGGCCTAGAGCCCAAAAGCTGTTGGGGAACATGTGTATAAACAACCAAGCCTTGGTCCCTTTAAAGTTAATACACACTTGTGTATAAACACCTGTAAAGAAGTGGTGTTGCAGCCCAGGAAAAAGGATTTGACAGGTGATAGCCCCCGCCTCTCCATAGCCCTCCCTTGGAGGTCCATGTTGAGTTTGCTCCAGGTGTTGGTGATGAATGTGGAGCTCTTGCTGAGCCAACAAGAGGTGCGGATCTTCAACTCGATCTTTGGCTTCTACTTTGGTATCTCTGGAAGCGAGGCAAGCTTTTCACCTTTTGGAGCTTCATTGTCGGAACATGTTGGAATCACCCATTTGGGGGTTCACCTTTCGGCTTGACTTGTGTTGGTTTCACCTTTGGTTCCCCTTTCTGCAGTTGTTGTCATGGCCTCCAAGAGGTTGAGTTTTTGTGCCTCGGTCCTGTGGGCAAGGTATGCCGTATATATGTTTCAACTGGATGGTGCACAGCCTGACGGGCAATTGGACATACTTCTTTCTCGTCGCTTGGCAGAGGGGTATGGGCTGCATGGTGGATTTGCTTTGGTTGTAATTGCAACTTGTAGATAACATACAGCTTGCGGATTTCCCTTCGCAGCTTCTCAGGCATCTAACATGCAATGTTCGAAGGGGACATGTCCGAGTCTCGAGATGTGGGCGTGTGGTTTTTCAACCAAGATGAACCTGCTGAACTGGGCACGGGGTATGTCTTAACTTTGGGCTTAGAGGTTGACACCTTGATCTTTGCCAATGTAATTCGGTTAAGCGGAGAGGTCAGAGTCAGTTGGTGCACTTGGATGTTGGTGCCTTTGTGCATTGTCAAAGACGGAAATTGCAATTGTTGACTGTTCTGCTCTCAGACATGAATGTGTCCAATACTGCAAGGACAGAGTGACCCCAAACTTTGGTACGTCGCAGGGTATTCCTTGTTCGCGACTTGCAACATGTAGCAGAACGCTCTGGCATGGAGTCGCAGAAATGCAGAACGCTCTGGCATGGAGAGTCGCAGAAATGCAGAAACGCAGAAACACAATCTCGCAGGAAAGGAAACACAAAAACATCGACACAAAGACCCAAGCACGGAAACACGGAGAGAAAAGGACTCGGGTACCCTGAGTTGCAAAGACACGCCCCTCCCCACATGCCCGCCCGCCCTCCACTATTCCAGGACACCCGCCCTCAAGCATGTGCGCAGGAACGAAGGCAGGCAGGCAAGCAGGTAGGCAGGCAGGCAGGCATGTAGGAAGGCAGGAACGCAATCGCCCGCCAGCGCATGCTCGAAAGCTCCGTACCTGAGCGTCACCGTGGCTCTTGTTATGTCTCTTGGTTGTGTGTGTGTGGGGTGTGTGTGTGTGAGTGTGAGTGTGAGTGTGAGTGTGAGTGTGTGTGTGTGTGTGGTGTGTGCGTGTTGTGTGTTGTGTGTTGTGTGTTGTGTGTTGTGTGTTGTGTGTTGTGTGTTGTGTGTTGTGTGTTGTGTGTTGTGGCTTGTGTCTTGTGTCTTGTGTCGTGTGTCTTGTGTCTTGTGTCTTGTGTCTTGTGTCTTGTGTCGTGTGTCTTGTGTCTTGTGTCTTGTGTCTTGTGTCTTGTGTCTTGTGTCTTGTGTCTTGTGTCTTGTGTCTTGTGTCTTGTGTCTTGTGTCTTGTGTCTTGTGTCTTGTGTCTTGTGTCTTGTGTCTTGTGTCTTGTGTCTTGTGTCTTGTGTCTTGTGTCTTGTGTCTTGTGTCTTGTGTCTTGTGTCTTGTGTCTTGTGTCTTGTGTCTTGTGTCTTGTGTCTTGTGTGTTGTGTGTTGTGTGTTGTGTGTTGTGTGTTGTGTGTTGTGTGTTGTGTGTTGTGTGTTGTGTGTTGTGTGTTGTGTCTTGTGTCTTGTGTCTTGTGTCTTGTGTCTTGTGTCTTGTGTCTTGTGTCTTGTGTCTTGTGTGTGTGTGTGTGTGTGTGTGTGTTGTGTGTTGTGTGTTGTGTGTTGTGTGTTGTGTGTGTGTGTGTGTGTGTGTGTGTGTGTGTTGTGTGTTGTGTGTTGTGTGTTGTGTGTTGTGTGTTGTGTGTTGTGTGTTGTGTGTTGTGTGTTGTGTGTTGTGTGTTGTGTGTTGTGTTGTGTGTGTGTGTGTGTGTGTGTGTGTGTGTGTGTGTGTGTGTGTTGTGTGTTGTGTGTGTGTGTGTTGTGTGTGTGTGTGTTGTGTGTTGTGTGTTGTGTGTTGTGTGTTGTGTGTTGTGTGTTGTGTGTTGTGTGTTGTGTGTTGTGTGTTGTGTGTTGTGTGTGTGTGTGTGTGTTGTGTGTGTGTGTGTGTGTGTGTGTTGTGTGTGTGTGTGTGTGTGTGTGTGTGTGTGTGTGTGTGTGTGTGTGTGTGTGTGTGTGTGTGTGTGTGTGTCTGTGTCTGTGTCTGTGTCTGTGTCTGTGTCTGTGTCTGTGTCTGTGTCTGTGTCTGTGTCTGTGTCTGTGTCTGTGTGTGTGTCTGTCTGTGTCTGTCTGTGTCTGTGTGTCTGTGTGTCTGTGTGTCTGTGTGTCTGTGTGTCTGTGTGTCTGTGTGTCTGTGTGTCTGTGTGTCTGTGTGTCTGTGTGTCTGTGTCTCTGTGTCTCTGTGTCTCTGTGTCTCTGTGTCTCTGTGTCTCTGTCTCTGTGTCTCTGTGTCTCTGTGTCTCTGTGTCTCTGTGTCTCTGTGTCTCTGTGTCTCTGTGTCTCTGTGTCTCTGTGTCTCTGTGTCTCTGTGTCTCTGTGTCTCTGTGTCTCTGTGTCTCTGTGTCTCTGTGTCTCTGTGTCTCTGTGTCTCTGTGTCTCTGTGTCTCTGTGTCTCTGTGTCTCTGTGTCTCTGTGTCTCTGTGTCTCTGTGTCTCTGTGTCTCTGTGTCTCTGTGTCTCTGTGTCTCTGTGTCTCTGTGTCTCTGTGTCTCTGTGTCTCTGTGTCTCTGTGTCTCTGTGTCTGTGTGTCTGTGTGTCTGTGTCTGTGTCTGTGTCTCTGTGTCTGTGTCTGTGTGTCTGTGTCTGTGTGTCTGTGTCTGTGTGTGTGTGTGTTTGTGTTTGTGTTTGTGTGTTTGTGTGTTTGTGTGTTTGTGTGTGTGTGTTTGTGTTTGTGTGTGTTTGTGGTGTGTGTTTGTGTGTGTTGTTGTGCTTTGCGTGTCTTTGCGTCCTGGTGTCTTGTTTGTTTGTGTGTCCCGCTCATTATGTTGTACATGTTTTCTGGGATGAGTTTCTGGATGCTGCGAGTCACCTAGGACTACTCGGAGCCTTTCTCAGTGTACTACCTCCTGCTGCTGCAAGTTGTGGTGGTCCTCTCCTTTGCCCTGGGCAGCGCCATTGCGGTACGTTTGCACCGGGCGGGGCATTTCCAGGCCAGGCATCTCAATTGTTACCAGGGTTCTTTGGTCCACCACCTGTTGCTATCCGTTTGGGAAGGCCCCGGGCAGCACGTAGATTTTGACAGGGGGAACGAGAATTACTGCCAGACGTCCCTGGCAACCCATATTTGACCTATTTTCTGTCGCACATACTCATACAGCCTTGACCAAACAACAATGGGAGTCATACGCCATACGATGTTTTTGTTTGCTCAATTTCAATGCTTTGTCATACAGGTTTCGTCGGGTAGCATAAGCTGTCAGACGGACTGCCAGACTTTTACAGGAACCATCCGGCATGTCCCCCTTGCATGCAAGCTGACGCATGGAATCCCTCAAGCATCAGATGGCCCACCTCCGTTTTTCGCGTTAGTGCCAGTATACACCGAGATTTATAGCCCTTTCAGGATCGTCTGGCAGTTAAACTGCGTGATAACCTGGAAAGATCGCCAGGAAAGACAGATAGCATAAAGATAATCAAGCCACAGTTGGACTGTTTGCTTGCGCATTGTTCCGGCGTCGTTCGTTTCTGACATGCCATCCTTCCATTCTCAGCATGTTGAGCCGGCTGTTTTCCGGAACAAAGTTGGTCTTTTCAATTTGAATATGGCAACATGGCAATCGAAAGTGGACAAATGCCTGAATCTCTTTTAGTTCAAGGCACTGAGGCTCATATACCCCAACTTTTAAGCACCCGCCGGACCCTATTGTTTCCTGCGTTCCTAACGATTCAATCAGTTAGACCAATAGAAGGGCCTATTGCTCGAAGGTTTCATTGTGCTGGGCGCATTGGATGTGAGGAGCAGACGCGGGATCGAGATGACAGACTGGATCCGATGCCAATGCAAATTGACAAAGCATGGATGTAAATCGGCATCCGAAGTGGCCATGCACGACTGTCATGTTTTCCTCAGCTGTTTCCCTCTGCTGTTTCCCTCTGCCAGCATCCCAAAGGCAGGGTGTGCGAAAGACTCTTGTCATGCAGCTTGTTGACTCGTGATCGACTCAACTCCTTCCTCAGCTTACTGAAGTCTCAGGAGTGAGAGGAGTTGTCCGGGAGCCGGGAATTGTAACGTTGTGTATCGCTGAATTCCTGACCGTTTCCATTCGGAAGAAGTGGCGCCCCTGGGCCTTTTCATTTTGGGGTTGGTTGACGTTCGAGTTGGACACCCTGTGGTAACAGTCCGCTGGCTGGCTTGTTTCATCGCTTTCCGGACTCTGGTTCCAGCGCACAAGGCATTTGATTTGCGTGACAGATTCTTCCCGGAGTGCGGTTGAAAAGACTCGGCATGACCTTTCTGATCACTGCATACGTCGCGAGAGTGTGGCAACGTTGCATGAGGGGGGGGGGGGGGGCAGGGATCAGGATGGCTTGATCGATGCGCCGATGCACCAAGCAAATCCAGTCCAGCTCAGCACTTAGAACTGTTAAGCTTAGCTTTGATCCGGAGTAAGCTTATACATGGGCCTTAAGAGTGTTAAGAGCACCCCGCTGCCGTGTTTGTACTTCAATGGGTGGGGTTACCACCCTAATATTCTTGCCAACCTAGGCGAACCTAGGAATTAGAGATTGAGCAGTGGCAATGCTAAGTTTAGCAATGGCAATACCAAATTTAGCACTGTGAACCTAAGATTCAGTATTGTCGATACTAAGTTAAGTATTGGCATCGGAAAATGAGATCAAGCATTGGCAATACTAATCTTGGAATCTGAAAGTAAGGCTTGGCAATACTCAATTTAGAATTGGCAATACTAAATTAAGTACTGGGAATCTGATAGTAGGTCTAGCAATTATCATTTTGGAATTGGCAATACAAAAGTACTGAGAATCTGAGAGTAAGGCTTGGGAAAGGTCAGCCCTGCACATTTTAGGCCCGGCCGAAGGGCGGCCATGTTAGTTGCCCGACGCCGATTTTATTTTCCCCTGGGGGGGGGCTAACCTTTTCTTCTTGCGGATCCCCTAGTCGGTAATTTTTGTTGGGGTTTGCGCCCCCATTTATTTTTTGGAAAAAAGGTCAGCTCCACTGTTTCATTTCAAAAAAATGGGGGTCGTAACCCTTAAGGGAACAAGACAGCGGGATAGAGCTCCTAACAAAGTGCGTACCCCCTTTTCTGCTTGCTTATGCGAAGACAACAGGAAAGCCATATGCATCATTGTGGTGGGTCCTATTTTGCCGGTGTCAAAAAATGGTGGGAGGTTGGTACCAGGAGTTGTGTCCGTTTGTGCTTTAGCCCCCTTTGCTTGTTTGCCCTTTTGGGGTTGTCCAACTTTCTTTTGCAGAGGCTCAACGTCGGATCCGTCCTTATGCCAAGTGTGCGAGTCCATGGAGAGCCATGGCTTTCAGGCACCGCCTCGATTTCGGAATTTGGCTCGGAGTCTAAGTTTCACCAAAGGAACACGGTGAGTCCTCGATTCAGAGACGCACCGTTGCGCAGCGATTCCCAGGATTCGTAGCAGCCAGTCGGCAACAAAAATTGTCCAACTTGCGTGACTTCCTTTCCTGTTCGCATTACTCCTGTCGAGCGCGGCTCTTGGACCCATGGTTGAATAGAAATGGCACTGCAAGGAGACCCTCGCTCCAGGGTATGCCAACCCCAACCCACATGATCCTTTGGCGATCCATAGAGTTGCTTGGTCCTTAGCTTTCATTTTGAATGGAGGCATCTACCTGATTTGTCTAAGCCCCCAGCCAACTTTTCCCATCCGAGCCATAGACTTCGCCACGGGCAATATGGTCGATGGCAATGGAATCCACAAAGTTGACCATTGATGCTGTCGCGGCCCCGGTGGCGTTGTGAGCTTTCGCAGCGGTGTGAACTCTCAAGGGATTGCCATATCCGGCGACACCAGACTGATGCTGGAAGGTCTGATTATAATCATGATGCATTCAGTCATTTGCCGACGTGTTCCCTTTTTTTTCAGTTGAGTCCCCATAAAGGAAATACAGCAGGGGGTCGTCAGCTGAAATGGGAGGTCCAGCGGGCCACGGAGATTTCAGGCTTTGGGTACCCGACGTCAGATATCCCTAGAAGGAATCCCCCTGGTCTCTCAAGTGTATGGGCCTCCCAGAATTCGGCAACCAAGCGCCATTGAGACGTGAGTGAGCTGTACCTGACTTTGGAGGAAGACGTTCTATTCACCCCAACTTTGACCCCTCACTGCTGCTTCGAGAAATCTTAAACTTGCCTGCGCACTTGGCAGTGGGAGCATCAATTGTAGGTAGCTAATGGGGCGTGACCAGGTTCTTCAACTCTGGCTAGCCCCCAGAGAGTCAGAAGTACTGATGCCTCTCAAGGCCAGTCCTGCAACTCGCACACATCCTTGCCAGGTGGTTCCGAGATGTGCGGATCTAGCTTCAATGATAGCTTCGATTGCAGTGTTTGGCTGCGACACTTGATATGTTTGGTCGGCCACATTCATTGGTTTACTCCCCCATGCCTCACAGCAACCATGTTTCTTTGAACTAGTGTTTCTGGGAGGTCTACCTCTCATCTTGGGAATTGGACGCATGTCCGAACCGAAACAACTAGGGTCCACTCTTTGTTGTATGTCCCGAGTCCTGATTTGCTTTGTTCCGTCTTGCCTCGGACCTTTTATATTTGCCTGCTTTCGACCACTCAGGGATCCGGATGCCACAGGATGGACCACGCTACAGGTACTTATATGTTTGCCACAAAATGGCATGTCAAGCTGCTACTGCAACTATTTTCTGGGCCTGCGGCCTCCTGCGGCCTCTAGCCGGCTACGCCTCTTTGAAGTTATACCATGTCATGTCATGTTTTTTGTATGAGAAACGTATCCCGTGCTATGATATGGCTGGTTAGGTTATGCATGTTGCCCACCCCAACCCCAGATGATGCCGGGGATGCCAGCTTTCTGGGCCCTAGCCGGGACCCAAACCAGAAGGCTGACATGGGGTCGCCCGAGCGCGCGCCAGAGGCCGCAGAAACAGCAGCCTAAAAAGAACAGCCCGCAAGCCAGCCCGGAAACGCAAAAGCAACAAAACACCGTAAATAGCAGCGTTTTGTGGCTGGGGTCACGCGCGCGCGCCAGAAGGCCCGAAAACCAACGCGAAAAAAGCAAGGACCGCGCAGCACGCGAGCCAGCCACAGCAAAAGCAAAACGGACAGAGCAACAGCCCACCGCTCAGCACAGCAGTTTTTGACGGTATTTACCGCGTTTTGTAGAGCGAGGACCCAGCATCGCCGGCATGCCCGGCAGCGCTTGGCGCCAAAATGCGCGAAAATGAGCCTCGCTTGTATCCCTCCGATACCTTCTAAAAAACAGTGCTTTTTGGGTTGAGAGGCTTTTTGGAAGGAAGTCTTGATGATGCAGACCAAGCCCCGCTGAAGCATCACCCGGCCCAACCCCAGACCCTGATGATGTCAGCCACATGGCCTAAACCCTGCATATACGCGATGTTTTGCGAGGGTTTCCCACAGGCAAGCAAAACCGCAAGCCCGAGCTGATGATGCAGAGGTGCCGGATGTAGGCCACGCATCACGACCAAGTGACGAGGGTCGGCGGCGCCAGGGTGCAGCCCCTATAGCTAAAGCTAGCAGGCTAATTGCCTAGCGGCGACATGCTACCCCAGGAGGCGTAGCCGGATTTACACGCTGACGCGACACAGCCGGCCACCGGGCACCTTGCCCTGCCCGTTCTGTCACTTCCCTTTCCTGTAAGTCCGATGAGTAGATGTTAAGATCTTAAAATTCTAAAAACTTTGAGATTCTAAGGGTCTCAGATTTGAAGACTTTCGGAATTTAAGGTTTCAATGGTTGAAGAATTAAGGTTTTAAGATTCAAAGATTTAAGGCTTTTGAAGGTTACAACAGCCAGGCCATTGCCCAGCCATTTTCCATCCAAGGCTTTAAGATTGTATTTTTGTGAGATTTTCAGATTTGGTGACTTTCGGAATTTAAGATTTTAAGATCTTAAGATGTCAAGACTTCAAAATTTGAAGATTAAGAGGTTAAGGAATTTAGAATATTGCCCGTATTGAAGGAATTTATTATATTTTACTTGTTTATGAATTTAAGATTTTCAGACTGCAATAGTTCGAGATTTAAAGAATTTAAGTTTTTGAAGCTTTTAAGATTCTGAGATTTTAAGATTTTGAGAATTTAGGAATTTCATATTTTAAGATTGTAACATCTGAAGACTCAAAGACATGAGGGTTTCTGTCACTTCCCTTTCCTGTAAGTCCGATGAGTAGATGTTAAGATTTTAAAATTCTAAAAACTTTGAGATTCTAAGGGTCTCAGATTTGAAGACTTTCGGAATTTAGGTTTCAATGGTTTAAGAATTAAGGTTCTAAGATTTCATATTTTAAGAGTTTAAGATCTCAAGATTCTAAGACAGAAGGTTTTTAAGATTTCAAGATTGGAAGACTTTAGGAAGTTTTTATATTTTTAGATTTTAAGATTCTAAGTTCTAAGATTGTAAGATCTTGAGATTCTAAGATTGATTGTTAGATTTTAATTTAAGATTTTAAGAATCTAAGACTTTAGGATTTTGAGATTTCAATCCAGGCCATTTTCCATCAATTTCCATCCACTTTAGATTTTAAGATTTTCAGGTTGCACGTTTTCGGCAAAATTGGCCCGACTTAGGGGACACCATCCCCAGCATCCCCCGCATCGCCAGCATGCATAACATCATCCGCATCATCCGGGATGATGCTGGCAATGCTGGGGGTGTTGTCCAGTATTAGGCACCCCCTAAAAATGCGCGTTTTTGGGCGCTGCAGGGAGATGCTACAAAAATCGCCCAAACCAATCCGCGAATCCTTCGCCCCTTAGAAGGAAGGCCCAGCCCAAAACGTACCCGCAACGTACCCGCATGGTCGGCGGCATGGGGCGCGCGGCCTTATACCTGAAGGTAAGCCCTAACGGGCTTTGGCCTGCGGCCCGATCACGTCCGGTGGCCGGATTTAGCAGGCTGACGCCTGATGCCGCCGACCCCCGTAACATCATCATCATTAGCATCAGCATCATTATCATCATCGTCATCACTGTCATCATCATCCTCAGCATCAGCATCAGCATCCTCATCATCCATCATCAGAACAACATCACCATCGGCATCAGCATCCTCAGCAGGATGATGCTAGCAAAGATGGGGATGCAACAGCTGTCTTTTTCCCCGGTCATGCGCCAGCTTCTGCATCCCCAGCATGCTAGGCATCATCGAAGGCATTTGCGAGATGATGCTGGCAAAGCTGGGGATGCAAAGCTGCCTTTTTTCCCGGTTGTCCAAGACAAAAAAAGGCAGGTCTTGCATCCCGGCAGGATGATGCTGGTGAAGCTGGGGATGCAACCGCCGCCTTTTTCCTGGTTGCCGGCGATAATGTCCTTTTGCGGGAGTTTTTTGGTTGACGACCTCTGGGAGGAGACTAGAACTAGGGATCAACAGTGCAGTTCAGACCGGTAGTCTAACGAGGACCAACCCCGAACCTCTCCTGCGCGACAATCCGTCATCTTCCCGTAGTCTTCCGTCATCTTCCCGTAGTCTTCCGTCATCTTCCCGCAGACTTCCGTCGGCTTCCCGTCATCTTCCCGTAGTCTTCCATCATCTTCGTGTAGTCTTCCGTCAACTTCAGCTTCCCGTAGTCTCCGTAGAGGTTAGGGTTAGAGGTTAGGGTTAGAGGTTCTGGTTAGAGGTTAGGGTTAGAGGTTAGGGTCAAGGTTAGGGGTTGGGCGTGTCAAAAAATCCGCCGCGGGACCCCCCTCCCCCCCGCAGACTCCCCCTAACCACCACTTAGAACACGCCTCGGCCCCTTTGCAGAGACTAACTTGGCTTTTGCAAAGGGGTCGGCGGATCTGTTTCTGCCGGCCAGAACTGCTTTATCAAAATGTCCACCTGATGCCCTTGGATAGCGTCACGAGCGTTTACACGGGTGGGCGCTCATCCAAAGCAACTGCGGTTGCAGTCCGGCATCAGCATCTGTGGCATCTCCTCGGATGTTTGACCTTTGAAATGAAGGTGGAGCTGCCGGAGGGCTTGGTGGCTTCTAAGATCTTTTCAGGTCAACAGTTGAGATCGAAGTCTGAAGCTTATATTTGAGGAGCCCGTTTGGGATGGTAGTGGTCCGGGGCATGTAGGCTTCTTGAATTGGGTGTGCTATCTCAACGTGTTGGCAAGCGATTCCGAAGATACCCAGACGGCTGTGTGCAGTGTCCATTAAGACCTATTCAGTTGTTTCGTTTCCTTTTGGGTTTTTTTCAGTAGGAGCCTCAAGTACTGGGCTCGTACGATTCGTTTCGTTCGACCTAAGCCCTTGGGTCCTGCTTCGGCGTTCCGCCGACCGAATGGGAGCGTTGAGAGCCATTCAGGAGGGCGATGCAGACAGTGCCAGCGGGCCAACGACACCCTTGGGCCCTAGCAGCCCTAGGCTGGGCTCAACGTTGGTCCCCAAAGTTGCAGAGAGTGGTGGGTCGCCAAAGCCGGTTTTTTGTGTTTGTCTCACTCCCTGAGTTCCTGGACTTGATACTTTGGGAAGACCGTTTGAGTGGCAAATCAAGAGTTTGGGCTTTCTTTGGCCGAGTCAGCAACTCAGGGATTGTTTGAAGGGGGGCATGCGTGACTGCAATGCGAGCTGCAGGATTCCTTTCCGTTTGCTAGTTTTAACCATAAGCTGTATGCTCTGCTCGACATCACCTGCTTGCGCCTCCGTTGGAAGAAGTAACAATAGTCCCGCATGAGGAACTGAAGCATCTTTGTCTTTTGAATGGTGAGACTAAGGTTGCCGGAAGTTGTGTAACTGCCGTCACAGGTCCATCCGGGCCTACCGACTTAGCAAGCTCCAGCAGACAGTCCCTCATATGGGCAACAGTCAGTATTTACCATGAAACTTGTTATGTCAACATTTGTTCTTCTGATGGACTGGATTCATGCAAAGGCGTCGCACTTGTGTGCTGATGCAAACCGGCGCATGTGGCAGTGGAACCTGGCAAAACTTGAGAAATGTGGTGCAGGCTCGGAGGATCTATTGAAAGTATTCCCTGGAATGACTTGTTATGTGCTGGTTTGCTTTCGGAGCATGATTGAACTGTTCAGGCACCCTTTAGACGGTGTTGTGATAGAATGTGTGTGTTTTTGTTTCTGTTTTGATTTTGGATTAAGTTGGCAGGTTCACATACTTTGTTCGCGAGGAGCAATGGCTTGTCATATTGTAGGATGTCACATGTGTCCTGTGTAGGCCAGTTTGGTCAAACATAGATGGCTCTAGTCTCTGATGTTGTTCGTGATTTTTCCAGTGCTGCTTATTTTTCCCAAAGGGCACCTATAGGTTGTGGATGTGTATTCTTTTGAGGGTACCCTTTGTACTTTGACCTGGACCTGTAAAAGGGAAACCAAAGCGAGCACCCCCCTCCTATTTTTGGGGTCCAACCTTGATTGTCTACCCAACCGGTAAGTGCGTCGCTCCTGAACGCTGGCAGAACCATCGCTTCAGAACGCTGAAACAAAATCGCCTCGGAACGCCGGAAAACGTACTAACCGCTTCGGAACGCTGGAAGTGGAGCCACGTGCCACGCGCAGGAGCGAGATGCTTATCATGCCCCCCCCCCCCCCCACCCCACCGCTTATCATGCCCCCCCCCCCACCCCACCCCCCACCCCCAGAACCAGATGAATTTGCAAATTTGGGTATAGAGCTTCAGCGGGTGTGCTTATCATGGAACCAGATGAATTTGCACATTTGATAGAGCTTCAGCGGGTGTGCTTATCATGGGTACGGAAGTGATCCTGGGCTGGGACGCCTGCGTTCGGAAGTGATCTTTTTGACTGGCCAGGTTTTGCAACCCTTTCCGCGTTCCGGGTGCTCAGTGTTTTGAAGTGATTTTGTTTTAGTGTTCGGAAGTGATCGAAAGTGGCAGCGTTCACAAGTGTTTGTTTTAGTGTTCTGAAGTGATTGTCTACCCAACCTTGCAACCCCCAACCGCTTCATCGGCCAGGCCGCGCAAGCGCACTGGAAGCAGAGGCTCCCAATTGGTCGCCCGGCGCCCACGGAGGTGCGTTTGGTCGAAGCACTTCTCGGAACCCCGACGCTTTGCCAGGTGGCCTTCAACTTGACTTCAGCTGTTTTAGTCATGTTAGTTGGCCGACAAGGCCTACCTCTGATTTCAGGTTGGGAGTGTTCCTGCAACATTGACAGGTCCTCTTCGGGTCCTGGTTGATCCATCGAGCACCTGATTGAAGAAGCATACAGGTCCAACACAAGTCAGGTTTGGTCAGACTACCCTTGGTCTATGGCCCATTCCCGAGGGGCATGGGCGACTTCTTAAATTTCCCCTACAACATAACCAGACTTACTCGTTGTCCCATGCACCAGCTCGTACACTCATTCTGACCATGGCTCGGCCCCGATGTCCGGCACCTGAGGCCCGGCGTGGCACCCGTGCCCTTGCAAAGACTTCCGGACCGACGGCTTGCGGCTTCCGGGCTCGTCTGCTTGACGGAAGGGAACCCAAGGATTCAGATCTGACAAGGATCCACAAGGAGATTCCTTCACAAAGGATTTTGTTTGTTGATCAGGGGAGGACAGAGGTTACTGCTTGTCTTGTTAGTTAGCTGCTACATCAAGGGGCGATGTGTTCAAGCAGGTTGACAGTATTTTCCGGCATATTACCGTGCCAATCCCTGGCTTGAACAATCAGTTGGTGTCATTTCAACTCGCACCTGCATGCAACAGGTAGTACTTTCAGCATCGTTTAATACGCGCATGACACCTGCTAGCTGACTATATCTGACGACCATTTTGCAAGAAGCTTGCTGTCTAGGCACATGCTTATCTCGCAAGGGCAAATCAATGGATGACTTAGTGAACATTCGAGCTCACATACAAACACAATGCAATCCCAGACGCCCGTGCCGGTGGCACCCTTTGTGCCTTTTGTTTGTGGAAGGGTTCTCTTCAGAACTGGGAAGTAAGCAAGCAACTTGAGAGGAAGTCAGTGATGCAAACGTCCCCGCCTACCTCGAAGCCTCTTATGATGTTTAGAGAGGAAATGTTGTGCTTAAATGTTCAAACAAATGCCATCAAATACCAATCTGTCGACACCTACCCCTTTTGCATACCTCTTGGGTAAGTACTCCCCAGGGACATAATTAGTTCAACGGCCAAACGACGCCGACAACGCCAGGAGATGACCAGTCCGACACTTCTCGGGATCGAGGCAGCAGCTCCCTGGGCCGCGCGGGGGCTCCCAACCGTTCAAAATGGGCCGTTTTCGAAGGTGTGAAGCCATGTTGTGTGTTTCTTTTGCGGGTAGCATTTTCAGGGCTGGTTCAAAAAGAGAAATCCAAAGGGGAACCATAGTTCTTTGCCCCAATCAAACAAAGCCATTTGTGCCACGATCAAAGCCCGGGTAAGTGAAGGTAAGACTGGGTGCGGATGTCCGCCCTTTTGATTCTTTGGGCAGACCATGTTTATGCAAGATTTTGATTCTGACTTGTTTGGGAAGCTTCTCAAAGTTGTGGATCCCGTTTAGTTGGTAGTTTAAGGGAATCCAAAAGGAGCACCAACCATTTTAGAGACCCTCCGTTTGGAGAAAGGCCGATTCGGTGATAGTTTAAATCTTAGCCCTCTACTATGA